TGTTATAATAGCCGTCATCGATTCGCCATCAGTTAGCGAGTGGCGAAACGAACGAACTCAATGAGGTACAACCAAACTCGCTATCGTCTATCCGTGCTAGCTAACTTTGTTGTTGCTTTCACATGCAAAATTCTTCTTTAAGCGACCGGAACTCAAACATAGCGAGCGAGAAGTGGCGAATCGATGACGGCTAATATATATTACATATATATGGGGCATTCTTTTTCATATCGGACACCAAATTTGGTGTCACAATTTCGATTTGCTTCACATTTTTCCTTATTTCTTCGGATATATGATCTGTAAATTTTGGGTTTTTTCACGATTCTGACTAAATAATCATGTACTTCTTCAAATTGTTATATCTCTATTATTTCCCAAAGAACGCCCACTTGATTTATTTCATAAAAATAATATAAAAAAAACTTTTTAATATACAACGCTTTTATAAATGGACTAAAAAGTAGAAAATAATATTTCTCAGTCCAATAGAATTTGTTTTGATAACTTTTGATTTTGAAATTTTAGCAAAAGTCATTATAAACAATCTATGAAATTGAAAATGAAAAACGTGGAGCGCATGCAATACAAAGCATTCGATTTAATTGACAATAGTCAAACTACATAACGTAGACCTAAAATTTCTACAGCGAAAGTAGAACTTTGAAATCGATTTTAAGCGGTCGTTATTCATATACCCACATACATACATACATATATTACTTTTCATATCAATTCAAGTGTATTACATGCGCCCCACGCTTTTCATTTTCAATTTCATAGATTGTTTATAATGACTTTTGCTAAAATTTCAAAATCAAAAGTTATCAAAACAAATTCTATTGGACTGAGAAATATTATTTTCTACTTTTTAGTCCATTTATAAAAGCGTTGTATATTAAAAAGTTTTTTTTATATTATTTATTTTCTACTTTTTAGTCCTGTCTGAATAAAATTTTGCAATAGATATTAAAATAATTCAACGATATTAATAGAAAGGTGCACACACAAGCATTTACATATGTATGTACATACAAACGAGCGCCAATTAATTTTATTTAAAGAAATGGCGTGTCGTCTATTTCCGCTGTAGCAAACGTAGTACATAGGGCGACATCTAGATGTCATCTACCTCGCCCTATTCACTACAGCTGTCGCCCTATGCACTATGCTTTTTTATAGGAACTTTTCAAAGCTTTGCTTTGGTGTCGGACACACAACATTGAGAGTTTCTGGATCCACAACATTGAAAGTTTCTGGACGCACAACATTGCAAGTTGATAAAAGCGTTGTAAAAAGGAAATAAAGCCCGTACTATCTATTTTTGCATACAGTGTAGCGCTGCGTTAAATTCCCTTCTGCTGTATTCGCATAAAACGGTATTTTTGCCAAGAACTGATAAGCGAATTATTGGAAATTAAAGGTAAATTGTTTTTTTTGCCTTCAATGCGATGCGCATATTTGTTCTCAGCGTCCTAGGTTTTTCAGTGGCTCCCTTCCCCCCCTCGCCATTACGCCGGAAAATGTATTTGTTTATATACTTACATTATTTAAATGCTCTATATGAATGTACGATGAGGAGTTGGGGTTTGTTTGTGTACACACGCCGCAAAAATACTGTGGTGATGTGGATGACGCACGGGTTGTAACAAAAATGAGTAAAGGGCAGAATAACATAAATCAGCCGTGGTCGAGTGGTTTATGTGACATCAAGGCACACACCGCTAATCGGAGGAGAAGCTCGGCCAATCATTTTAAACTTTGCACAGATTGCTTTCCAGAGCACAGTAGGCGTACTAATTTAAATGGTAATATAAAAGCCGAAAGTATTTATTTAACTTTTAACTTTTTCATGTTCCGTATTTGGTTGAAACTTTGAATAATTTAATTTTCATACATATCTACATATGTATGTGTATTAAATATATGCATTAAAATTTGTTAATTTCAATTTCTTCGTATAATAAAGGAAAACAAATATTTAGTTCAATGTTATCATATTAGGAAATAAAATCCACGGGCGTTATTTCCGCGGGCCTTATTGCACTCCACCGATGTTTATGTTGGATCCTAAGTAGGCAATGTCCAGCGTCGTGCTTTTTCTGTACTATTTGG